GGCCTCGACATTTTGGCGAACGGCTTCTTCTAAACGCGTACTCCGGTATTTAAACGGACTTCCCTCCTTTTCATAGCGTCGAAAATTCTTATCCAATTAGGGGTCCTTAGAAACTAGACAAATCAATTAAACACTCGTAACCGGACGCGTGTTTCCTCACGTACGCCAAAATTTAATCGGAACTATATATCTAAACTAAAACATTTCTATGAAAACAAATAGTTTTTTTTTTAATTAAGCCACCTTATATCTAGACATCACCTTTAACCTTTTATGAAGCAAGTGGAAAACCTAATAAATCACGTCGGAGCTGTCGTACATGCATTAGCACAAGAAATTATAATAAAATAAATCAACAAAAGAGATACGAGAAACCGCACTGTGTCGTAAATAATCCCAAGAAATTTGTTAACATGAGTTCTAATGAGAATAGAGCTTGCATTCACTACAACTGTCTCGATCCGAACCTCAACGTCCCAAACCGACATTGTTTATACAACATCTTGGATTATCTTTTTCAGCAATTTGATGATTCTCACAAATTGAACAGCGGAAATCCAAAAATAAATAACGCCAATAATTGCGAAATGTACTCAAATACGCCCTGAAAAAAGCCAAAACCAAACATTCTTGAACGTGCCTCGATTAAAACAGTAGATCCCTAACCGCGATGTAGTTTTAAAAAAATCAAAAAAGAGATTCTGAAACCCTTGGAAATTGAAAGCTAATAACTTGCAATGTGTATAAGTGACCATGCAATGAATCAAGACATTTTAATCTATACAATAGTCAAATTGTAGGTATTGCACAATGCACATGCGGTACAAGAATAAATCCATCAGGTGAGCTTTTAATTGTTATGGATTATATATCACACTTTTTTTATACATACAAATATGAAATGTATTGGATACGAGAGTGGTAGATACATATTTATTTTAAATTTCTAACTATCCAGTAAATACATGAAAACCCCCTGGAAAACACCCAAAACACGTAGAATTTTTCTATTCGAACAAGTACAAAATTAGAAGGAGCCATATACAAAAATGTTAATTCAAGTTCATTAAACTGATGAAAATCTAAATTAAAACGATTTAAATTAAAATTTTAATGAAGGTGTCAATTTACACTCTGCAATAAGAATTGAATAAAATTGTCATTATATTATTGATTTTCCTTTTGTAAACCATAAGTAAGTAATCAAGTCGATATTCTCCATTGTGACAACTGAGAATTGTAATTTCCCAAGGATTTCCTGTGAATGAAGAATAGAGTTTTTCAATGTAAATGTGATGAGTTTTTCACAGTGGAATTAAAAGTATGTGTATTCACCTGGCAGGCTGCAGGCGTTGCGAGAATAACAAACATTAACTATTCTAATTTTTGCGTTGCCCAATAGTTTCTATAAATATTCAGTCAATGACCGCATGCTTAAAAGATACTGATAACTGACACTAGATTGTGCGCCCAGCACGTACGGCTTATGTCATCTTTGGAAAAAATTACATAAGCCTTTGCATATTTACCCGCACAGATTCTCGATTCCGAAAATGGGTACACAATTGCAGCAGTTACGAGACAGGTAAATGAACTGAAACAACAATTCAACTCAATTAAATATTTGCATTTCGTAGTGTAACTTCCAGTTGACTTCTTCACACCAAAGGATTAGAAGTTGTAGAGGATTAAGAACCACTTAGCATTTTGAAGATGCGTCAAGGATAAATTAATGGAAAACATTACATCCTACTAAGAACTATACAGCCTTTATTATCATCATACATATTTAATTAGGGATCGAGCTTAATTATTTTAAATGAATTTCCGGCGATAAAATAGTTCTCGCCTTTATAAATAATTTAATGCAAAAAGAAATGACACTATTGTACTTAGGTACTTTTAACTTATGCAACTATTCTAAAATTGGTCGCTTTCCCCACCAAAAGATTGTAGTGCTGCTGTGAAATGCTTCGGAAAGTTGAATCTCCGCACTTAAAAATAAATTTTTCCTCGCGCTTTTTTTGGCGTGCAGTAGGTATTTGAAACTTTTCAGTTACCGAAAAATTAATTTAATTAGGAGGCACAATTTTAATAAAATATTAAATTAGAAATGATAAGGTCAATAATTACAACCCGTTTCTGATTAATTACAACATTCAAGTATGTACTGAAATAAATACAGATTACAGACCTTGATGCTAAATAAGTGAGGGTACGTTTCATCCATTTTAAAAAAGTGGTGGCATGGCATACCCCCGCATACCACTGACTACAGTGTGGTTAAATTTGCAACCATAATAGTTACAATGACTGGTGACATTTTCGGGTATGCCGTTTTTGATTTTGCAAATTTTCCTTCAAAATTCCTACCACAAAAGCACCCATAAATGAGAGCGCGAAAATAAATTCTTTTTTCGACGAAATTTGGTATTTTTGAAATTCGAAAAAAAAACTCCACCGCAATTCTTGACCGGACAACTAAAATGTAGAGAATTCTACGAAATTTGTTGTATACAGGGTGAGTCAACGATTGCGCGGAGTGACTTAATGCCTTGAACATTCTCCACATTTTAAAAATATTTTGAATTATAAAGGGTGCGTTCACAAAGTAGCGCGATAAAAAGGTACATTTTAAAACACTCTGTTTAACAATTTTATTCCTTAACTCATCAACCATATACACAACAAATTTCGTAGAATTCGCCCCATTTCAGTTGTCCGGCCAAGAATTGCAGTGATTTTTTTAAATTAATTAATCACAATAACATGAACCTGCACATAGTTCACCTATATACGAATCGGGAAATGTAAAGTAAAATTTTTTCCATTTTTTTTCAATTTCGATTTCCCAAATACCCCCCTTTCGCAGGATAGATTGAAAAAAATATTTAAGACAAATATTTTTTTTTAATTTTTGATCGATCGCTATTTTGTTATTTGAAAAAATAAAAAATAATTGCAAATTTAATTGTTTTGTTGTAAAAATTGTTGTTTTTCAAAAGTCCTTAAAATAACGATTTTTCGAAAAACAAAAGAACGCCAATAACTTCGAACCGGAGCACCAAATTAGCAATTGAAACGAACAAAAGTAGTTTGTTTTAATGACTAACTGTCGTTTTTGGGTGCAACGACTTAGTTTTATCACCCCGTATAGGTAGCTCTGAAAATAAGGAAAACAATTCAGATATCAAAATCTAGTAATTTTATATACAGATTTGAAGTTTTTTTCCAATCCATTAATTGTAATGCTCGACTGCAACTTATGGAACTATTTCAACCATCAATCAAGCAATGTCAATTCACCGTTTGGAATAGTTTTCTAACTACGGTGCATCCGCTATGAAAAATATAAGTTTGCACGAGGGCAAAATGTGCACAGGCTAATCAACAAAATGAATGTAACAATTTTGATATATCCATTAATTTAAGAATTTGGTGAAATAATTTACCTAAATACAAATTACTACCCTTCAAATCGCTTCAAATTCATACACGAAATGCTTCTGCAACTGACACTTGACATTTCGAGAAGTATGTTAATTGATAAAGAAAAATATGAAAAAACTATAAACAAATACGTACAAATGTGTTGACTAGGGCTAATTACATTAAATCATGCATAAATAATGTATGATTATCTGAATGTGGTTGCTGTATGCAAATTCACGCAAAAGAAAGTAGGTCAAGACGACATTAAATAACTAACTTTTAGTGCCGTCGCACATGGCACTTACACATAATAAATATTGAATAAATTGTATTTGATAATTGTGTTACGTTAAAATGCCTCCCGATTCTTCGACAATTCAATTCATAAATGCGTACACTTTAAGGGCAATCCAATTAAAGCGCTTTAGAAATTTGCATGAAAAATGTATTAAAAATTGTGAGGAGATGTATTCGGCTGCTGGCTCATCAAAAAGCAAGAAGTTTGATAGTTAATTAGCACTTACCATAAATTTCAAATGAAACGGCTTGTGCGACTAAAAAACGCGGACAGTATTTAAATTTTAGTGTTTCTGCAGATGCACTTATCGTCATAATTCGTTACCTTCATTTTGCACGTTAATTGGCAGAAATTTAATTATAACTAGGTAGTAATTCAACTGTGGAGTGTGAGACATCTAATTAATTAATTTATTCAACATAAAAATCACATGTTTAAAATTAACAAAATTAATCACTTATAATTGCACAAGAGGTTTGTATTTTACCAAGTAAATTTGGGTTGTTTAGGTAATGAAAAATCTGTTGCTTAGCAATTAGACGAGAAAAGGTTCAATTGCTAAAAGGAAACAGATTTGAATTGCAACAACCCAAATTTACTCGGTTTAAATACAAACCTCATTCAGCAGGACAATTTAACGAACAAGAAATTCACCAAATTAATCAATTATTGACAGACGTCAAACTAGTCATATGGGAAAGGATAATGCGATAATTGGTTTGAAAATGAATGTGAAAAAACCACTAGTGCATTTGTCGCTGGAAAAGTTGCAGGTAACTTTTATCGCTGTCAATGTGACAATTGCACTGCGGCTTATGCGATTTTTTATATAACTCTCGCCAGGAAAGATTGCCGGTCACAGCACACCTTGTGTCGATTTACAATCTACATTTTTCTTAAGATGCGAGCGACTTCCGGAATAGGGTCGTGGCAATGTTGAGCGAAAAGTCTTTTTGTTCAACATTGACAGGATACCATCCCGGATGTCGCTCACATCTTTAGAAAAACATAGATTGTAGGCCAGCATCAAGTGTTCTATGACCGGCAATCTTTCCTGGCGAGAGGTTTACATGAGTTGAATTGTCGTAATAAAAAAGGTACCTAGCCTATCTATTATTTAAATCTGCGTTTCATGCACGACTCAAATCAAAGCTTTAGGGTTAGACCGTTGGCAGTCAGAAGTATTTTTATTTTAGTTATTTCATTTTAAATTGGGGGAGCGGGAGGTTAGCAGATAACCGCTATACTAACCTAAAGCGGCGTCCACACTATGCCGTTCCCAGGTAGAGCACGGCGTCAATATGACGACATTTTTTCGTCCTTTTTTTTTCGAAGACGTCACATGCCGTAATCAGAACGATAAATTGACGACAATATGTTGACGCATATATGACGTCATAAAATGACGTACAGATGATGTCATTTAAAAGTCACCTATAACCTATTTTGCTTCAGATATTTGACTGGCACGTGCGCAATTATGGCATTGAAAGTACGAGTTTAAATTACTAAATATCCCTGCGAATTATGAGATCATTTTGTACGGATGTAAATATCCTTAAAACTTAAGCCAAAATTACTCTACTGGCAACGCTGTATATTTGTAAGACAACAGTGCTTAGAACGCCGTGCGGCTGCGCGTTGCGATGTTTTTTAGCCTTCACCACAAATAAGATTTGTGTTGTGGCCTTCACATCGTGATCGGAGTTGTGTTCGAGTTTGTTTGTTGTGTTCGTAATAAATAAAAAGGTACGGTCATTTTTATTCTATTATATATAATATTTAGTTTTGTACCCGTTCAAGGTTTTGGTTTTAATTGTACGTTATGGCGTACGTTATAGTTGAATTTGGAGACGAAAATGGACGAATTGGCGCCGTCCATAAATCTTGGTTGACGCCACTAAAGAAACGAGCTTATTGGCCTGCATATAAAGAGCAGGAGAAATTCGATAAAGCTCTACGTTGCGGCGAAAACGTCGAAAGCTCATGGACATTGTAGAGTGTAGATAGAATATTTTACCAGACAGGTTGGTGATCAACTTGGTTTTCTGCTTTTCATGCATTAACTTTGATATTTTAGATGACAATTTAAAAGCAAGACAAAAATTAAAGGAAGCGGAATTTACTTCTAGTTTAGAGAGTGAGTGTGATGAGGCAGCAAACACTGGTCGTCAAAAGCGTAAGAAAGCTAGCCGAAAGTTGTTTGGTTCTTCAGAAGAAGACTGCGAGGAGGAGGAAGAGTCTTTACCTAGACCACCACCAATTAAGCGACCCACTGTCACATCTCGGAAAGGTATCGTTTTTTAATACATTTCTGTAATTTAATCTTAATATCATAGAAGCTGCCGTATTGAAATCGCCAAGGCATTCACACTTGGTATCGACAAGATTGGTGCAACGACCAACTAATCAAACCGACAATTTCCAAAGTCCTCAAACGTCAAAAGGCACTTTACATCATCGAAATGCAGCGGAGCAGTCTCGGGAGCAATTGACCGTTACAGGTTTGAATGTGGAATTTGCAAAATTTATTTTCCTAATGGACGTTTTAGTTGTAGATAAACTTATTGCCTTAGTGGCTCGTGTTAAAGAGCAAAACGACGAAATTTTGTCTTGGATCGCAAAACAAGACAATAAAAATACCAATAACATCTCATCGTTTGGTATGCCAGAGATTCCATTCTCCCTACCACTTCAAACTCAACAGGAATTACTTGAGTTTAATTCTTATTTAATTAATAATGGAGAAAAGTATACTGCTTTGGTAAGTTGTCAGTTGAAATAGTTCAGTTTTTATGATTAGGATTTTAGGGTTCGTATTTGACTACTCTTGGTGGTGATACTATCACATCTAAAACTAACAGAATATTAAAAAATCTGATATCTGATTCGGTTGCGTCACAATTTAATTTTTACGGTCAGCGGTCCACAAAACAAGCGTTCTCCACATTATTGGTGAAGAGCTTAATCGTTGGTAAGATCTTCATGTAAAGGTAGGATTTAACACTAATTTATCGATGATTTAGATGCTGTTAAGAAGAGCATTTCACAGACAAGGAGTTAAAGTATCATTTCCCATTATTCATAGTTATGAAGAAGTTGACGCTTAATTATTCTTTATTATTTAGTAGTGTAGCTCTTGTATTTGTATTTTTATAGCATAACACCTTTTTTTAAAGCATTGTTTGCAAGCAACGAATAAATAGAAGATGGTTACACATTCGTTTAACTATACCTCACATCAAATTACATTAGTAATTAACGGCCCAATCACGTCATTCACTGACGCCCCATCGTCAGTACATGACGTTCTAATGACGTCATTTTGCATGTGACATATGTACGTTTTTTTAGGGTCACGTCATTTTCACTTTCCAAATGACGTATTCTTGGACATTTCTATACGTCAAAATGACGTCCAAGCCTTCAAAATAGAGCAACATACTTTCGCGTTTGTCCCCTCCATAACTGAATACGGCGCTGTCTGGACCACAACTGACCCCGCGTGCCGCGTAAAGCCAACGGTTGGCACGTCCCCACTCACCGCTCCCATTGGCTTCCTTTGATGGAGACCGACACTAGAGCGATTTTCGTTGGCACACCGTTGGCTCAGCGGCACATGCCAACGGCCACGTCCACATTGTATTGGCTTTGCCAACGGCCAACGTTGGCATAAGTGTGGACGCCGCTTTATAGGACCCATCCCATGGTTATCTAACGATCTTTACGGACACTTAATGTATGCTGCTATCGAGCACCGTGTGGTGACTTTGAAATCTTTATGGCTAACATTGAAAAAACGCTTGCATCTTTACGTAACGCATCTAAGACTGTTATTGCTGGAGATTTTAATGTGCCTTTTAATACCAATGATTCAAAAACAGTTAGTTTGTGTGGTTTATTTTCATCCTTTGGATTTGTTCAAACTATCTCACGCCCTACGCGATATAATAACTGCATTGACAATATCTTTATAAATTTTTCAATAGACAATTTTAATGCCCGTGTAATATCGACCAACTTTTCCGATCATCTTGGACAAATAATCACTATTAATTATAACACCAATGCTATTGATAGTAATCGTGTCTCCGTAACGATACACCGTCCAATTACAACAAAGGGTATAAACTCTTTATTTTTCATGTTAAGTGAGTGTAAGTGGGACTATTTATCAAATAACAAGATAGGTACAAATGAAAAGTTTAATATATTTTTTGATAACTTTTGTTACGCATTTAAAATTGCGTTTCCAGAAAAACTTCAAAAGTGTCGTAAAAAAGATCAAAATATTATATGGTTTAATAAGGACCTAGCACACCTACGCAACACCGTTAAACTTATAAGTGAGCTACACAATTTGTACAAAATTGATGGTCTACTTGACTTAAAACGTCGTATTACGGCGAAATATAAGAAAGCTATCATTAATGCAAAAGTTCAGGCGAATAGTGAAGCTATAAGGACGTCTTCAAACCCTGTAGGTAGAATGTGGGGAATTATTAACTCACATAGACTTTCCAGAAGACAAACAAACACAACATTTGGGCCAATGAATTTAATATTTATTTTGCTAACATAGCTAATAATATTTTGTATGACCAACAATCATTGCCTACCGACTCGTGTATTAACTTTAGTGATAGTGTACCTCATAAATTTAGTTTCTATCCAACATGTCCAGTAGAAGTTCGTGATATTTTCATAAGTGTAAATATAATTAAGCGTAATATTAGTTTGTACGTATTACCTCTTGTAAGACTGGTAAATGACTCTTTTAAAACTGGAATCTTTCCTGATGCTTTAAAAATTGCAATAGTTGTTCCTTTGCATAAAAACGGAGATATTTATGACGTAAAAAACTATCGTCCGATATCGATATTGCCGGTTTTTTCGAAAATATTTGAGAAACTTATGAAAATAAGGATTATGCGTTTTCTGGAAAAAAATAACCTGTTGCATCAAAATCAATTCGGTTTTAGAGAAGGAAAAGGCACCTCAAACGCTATTTTATATTTAATAAGTGAAGCTATAAAATGTTTTGAGAAACATGAATACTTACATGCGACCTTTATTGACCTGTCACGAGCGTTTGACTGTGTCTCTCATACTATACTACTGGAAAAGCTCTCTAAATATAACTTTGATGAAATAAGCATCACACTAATGAAATCGTATCTTAGTGGCAGATCTCAGTGTGTGCGTGTACAGAATACAATCTCGGATAAAATTCCCGTGGTAAGAGGAGTGCCACAGGGTAGCATACTAGGGCCTTTACTTTTCCTTATATATATATTAATGATATGCCGTTATCAATACTAAAAGGCACCACCTGCGTACTTTACGCTGATGACGCCACTTTACTGGCACATGACCATAATATGGAAACTGCACTTCATGCTTCTGAAGCCAATCTTAAATTAGTAAATTCGTGGTGCATAAGAAATGAATTGTCAATGAATGCAGCAAAAACTGAAAAACTGATTATGACTCTAAAAACTCATAATGTTAGTGATAGTGAATCTGTGAAGTTTCTGGGCGTACATTTAGACTCCAAATTATCTTTTAATGTACATATTAGGTCGATATCTATTAAATTTAACCGAAATCTTTTTTTATTACGTAGATTAGTAAATAGTGTTTCTCAATTAGTTGTATTAAAGGCATATTATGCACTATGTCATAGCATATTATCGTATGCAATAATTGCTTGGGGAAATTGTCCACAGTCAAAATATGCCTTCAAGTTACAAAGACGTGCTATTCGGATTATTGCGAATATTGGTTATCGTGATGAGTGTAGGCATATTTTTTCTACACTAGGCATTCTAACTGTACCATGCATGTTTATTTTAGACTGTGTGTGTTATGTAAAATCCAAATTTGAACAATATGCACTAGTTTCCAAAGTGCACAGCCATAATACAAGAAAAAGTCTTTCGCTCAAGATACCATTTTGTAGATTGGCAAAATCTCAAAATAGCACTGAAATTATTGCCTTAAAACTTTTTAATCATTTATCTGATGATGTTAAAGTAATAAAATCACCGCGACAATTTAAACTAAATGTAAAAAAAATGTTAACAGAATCCGCATTTTACAGCGTAAAAGAGTTTCTAGGGCAACAGTGAATTGAATAACTATAGTTTGGATGTTTTGTTTTTATTGTATTTTCCTATTATTTTCTTTTTGGACGAGTGTAAGTACATTGTTTACATTTCCATGAAATATACATTATTATTATTATTATTATGCACAAATATTGTGACCAAAAATAGAATAAGTTAACACAGAAAAACACACTGAAAAACAGAACATTAAAAACAAGCACATGTGACGGCTAAAAGTTGTTAGGTTGCTACTTTTACTATTATACTTATTAGAGGTGAGACACATTAGACGAAAACAGTGGAGTATCTGTAATAGCATTTTACATTATTAGCCAGGTAAGCGAGTTTCTACTGGCGATAGAAGTTGACTGGTCAACCGTTGTTTTTGTAACTAAAAAAACGCATTTCAAATTATTTGGAGAAAATATAGACCACCGTTTATTAAAAATATCTGATTTTCTGCCTAAGGGTCAACTTTAGTGAAAATATGCTAACTACATTTTTTGTAGGAAATTTTCTTCTCGTTAATTTTGCTCGCCACATAAATTCTCCAAAAAAGCACAGTTTTGGAGATATCCGCAGGAAACGGCTTTTGGTGGCCATCTTAGCAAGATGGCAGGCGGCAAGTTTCGAATTGTGAATTTTACGAATTTTAGCTCTACGTACCCAAACCTACAAAATTTCTGTACTTTCCGTGTTATTTCCCAGTAAAAATCATCAATGACTGGCCTATTAGTAGAACCTCTAAAAATCGAAATAATTTCCAAACGGATGTGTTTTGCTGGCAAACTTTCTACGGCACAAACGTAGCACTAACCAATCCACCTAGTCTTGCAATTTGTGCCGACAATGTTCTGCTAACTTCACGGACCCGAAAAATCTCCCTGTGATGTTCCGTAAGTTTAGCCCATTAACAATTATGGAACGAGTAAGACAGATCCGGTTCCGTAGGTATTGATTGGAAAGTGTAAGTTGAACCTCTTCTGCTCGAGTAAAACTGCTAGCTATATTAATATAAACAAAAATAAATTGTACACAACTCTTGTGCAGATAAAGCGCATTTTTTGTAACCGAAATAGCTTTTGTTTTGAGATCACCAATGGATATATTTCTTGCAGACGTCTCGATCGCCCTTTGTGAGTACCCTCTTCCGACAATCCGTTCTTCAGGTATAAGGGAATATACCGGATCACGATAAGAGATCGAGGAGGTTGGTAGAAATTAATTCCTTTCGTTGAGACCTTTCATTAGAGTACCATGAAGGGCAAAACTAGTCCCCCCCCCCCCCCCCACCTCGTACAGGACAGAATGGAGGGCAGTACTTGGTAGAAAACGGTTCCTTTCATTGAGACCTTTAATTAGAATACAATGAAGGGTAGAACATGTGTTTTCCCCCCCCCCCATTTTCTAAAGTTTAATTTGGCTCCACTGAAGGCATGCGTATGCAAAATCTGAGACCAATTGGTTGTCGTATGTAAAAATTATGCACGGTTTACTTTCAACACAGCATTTCAGGAAATAATCCGTGGGGGGAGAGGGGGGCCTTTTAGACAGCGAAATTAGATGGCCGTCTGGCACACCTTCAAGCTAAAGGCTACCTACTGCAAAAAATTCCAGGACTCTAGGACCATTCCCCTTGAAGTACCTACTTCATAACGGCAGAAGTGGGTCCGAACGGACGGACAAAACGAAAACAATAGTACATTTTTTTTTAATTCTTAAAAAATGCGCTAAAAACTAATACTATTGGTGATGATGCTCTAAACCCTTGACCTTCCACATAATGAAATTATAAAAATAGATCGAACACAGTTATAATAAAGATTACAATAATGGTACAACACACAATTTTATAAATAGAATTACAATGAAGTTCATAGTAATTTTATACTGGTTTACGGTAAACAGAGAGATGACAACAGCCGTAATAACTTCGCATTAAAATAAGTCAATTAGATTTAAATTGAACTAAAGCTCAGTGTATAATGCATGAATCGTACTCGTGATTTCATCCCATCCTACTAAATTGTCCCAATTTAAATTGCCAAATCAAAATAATGAAATAATCGGCGGTAGTTTAGCAGCGGCTATTAAATTGCG